ACACACACACACACACACACACACACAAATAAAACAACCCACAAATAATTTGAAAAACGGGTACAGGAACTGAATATATATTTTCCCAAAGAATACATCAGATAGGCAACAGGTACGTGAATAGGTGCTCAACATCACTAATCATCACTAACCATAATGAGCCCTGGCTGGTGTGGCTCCATTGGTTGGAGTTATCATCCTGTGCAATGGAAGGTTAACAGTTCAATTCCCGCTCAGTGCACATACCTAGGTTGTGAGTTTGATCTCTGGTTGGGGTGTGTACAGGAGGCAAACAATAAAGAAATATCACCTCACACCTGTTAGAATGTTTTTTATGAGAGAGAGAGAGAGAGAGAGAGAGAGAGAGAGAGTAGTGCTGTTGAGGATATGGAGAAAAGAGAACCCTTGGGGGAAATGTAAATTGGTAGAATCATTGTGGAAAACAGTACTGAGTTTCCTCAGAAAATTAAAAATAGAACTACCTTATGATCCAGCAATCCCACTTTTGGGTATATATAATAGTATATCCAAAAGAAACAAAATCAAGATCTTTGCACTTCCATTTTTGCAATCGCCAAAATATGGAAACAATCTAAATAAGTGGCTGTCTACAGATGAATGGATACAGAAATGTGTGACATACACACATGAAATATTATCAAGCCATGAAAAAAATGAAATTTGGCCATTTTTGACAATGTGGATGGACCTTTAGGGCATTATGTTATAATAAATGAAATAAGCCAAATAGGGAAAGACAAATATAGTATGACTAGAGGCCCAGTGCATGAAATTAGTGCACGGGGAGGGTCCCCTCTGCCCAGCCTGCACCCTCTCCAGTACAGAACCTCTAACCTGGCAGTCAGACATCCCTTTCAACAATCCTGGACTGCTGGCTCCTAATCACTTACCTGTCTGCCTACTGGTCGCCCCTAACTGCCCCCCCCCCTTCCTTGCTGGCCTGGTTACCCCTTTCTGCTCCCCCTGCGAGCTTGGTCGCCCCCAACTATTCCCCTCTTCCAGCATGGTTGCCTCTAACTGCTCCTGCTGGCCTGGTCGCTCCCAACTGCCCCCCCTCCCCCCTCCCCGCCAGCCTGCACTCCCCCCGCCAGTCTGGTCACTCCTAACTGCCCCCTTTGTTGGCCTGGTTGCCCCACACAGCCTGCTGTTCAGTCATTTGGTCATTCCTCACTAACCCCCCTGCTGGCCTAGTCACCTCTAACTGCCTCCCCTTGAGCCTAATTGTTCCCAATTGTTCCCCCTGCCAGCCTTGTTGCCCCTAACTGTACCCCTCTCCACCTGCCAGCCTGTGTCGGCGAACTTTTAACAAAGGTCAGGTCCCGGCGCCCCGTGGGAGCCCTTATGAACCTTTTGTTCTAACTGCCCCCTCCTCTGCCAGTCTGGTCACCTCTTACTATCCCTCCTGCCAGCCTGGTTGCCTCTAACTGCCCCCTCCTCTGCCAGTCTGGTCACCTCTTACTGTCCCTCCTGACAGCCTGGTTGCCACCAACTGCCCCTCCTGCTGGCCAGGTCACCCCTCATGGCCCATCCACCAGCCTGGTTGCCCCACGCAGCCTGCTTGTTCAGTTGTTTGGTGGTCTCTCACTAACCCCCTGCCAGCCTGGTTGTAGGCAGCCATCTTTGTGAGTGCATGGTGGTCAATTTGCATATTACCTCTTTATTATAAAGGATATCACTTGTATGTGGATCTAAAAAAAACCAAATTCTTAGAAACAGTGTATGATTTAAAAAGCATAAGATACTGGGAACCAAGGACCCTCTATTTGATGATCAATAGAACAGTTTGTCCAGAGAGAGGGAGAAATGAGTCTGTCTGAGGTGGTGCTGGCCTTATGAGGTGGCTGGGCTGGGCTCAGCACAGATGAAGATGCCATATTAGCTGCTCTGCCTGGGTCAAGGAGTTACTGAAGCAAGCTGAAAAAACTTGCTCCTAAACCCTAAAAATAACTGGGAAAAGTACTAGGGGAAAGGAACATCATTAATGATGGCTCCTAGATTCAGAGAAATGTTAATGTGATCAAAATTTAACCCCCTGGCTACTGATACTCACAAATTACATGTGAAATACCAAAAATACGTTTTGGGGAACTAAAAGAAATAATGTGGTAATTACACAAAAGATGAGAAACAATTTTAAGTATAACACTGAACCCTTCAGAAGCTGAATAGACCCAATTGCCTCTGTAGTAAATTTACTTTTTTTTTTTTTTTTAATTCATTGCTCTCTGGTCAAGTCTCAGAATCTTTTCTTGACTAAAATGGCTTATATCTGAGGTATGTAGCTGGAGCTAAAGACATTCTTTACTTTATTTCTCTGTGAAGAACACACACTCCCCACTTCACATACACACATATGTATGTCTTTTTATCCAGGGACAATTTTAAATTTGTTTTAGGAAGGCAATATTTTAACACAGGTGTTGTGAAGAGACCTAGATATAATACTGAGTTTGATTCATAGGAAGAAAAAATGTCCATAGGAGTATATCAGGTATGAGAGTCAGCAAGAGTGGTAACAATGAGTATCTAGAATGTCAGACCCAACCCGCTTCCTTATAGTTGTATGGTCCAGGGAAAATCAGGTGATGAACAGATTTATAACTTTTGAAATAACTTTGCCACAAATTTTCCTTCAATTGGAGAAAGGTTACTAGTGGTAGTACTTGGCCTTGTGTTGTTTTATCAGTGACTTGGATGGCAATATGAGAAGCATGCTTATTATACTTACCAATATTACAAAACTGGGAAAGGTTGTTTGATGATAGACTCAATGTCCAAAAGTTCTAGGTAGAATGAAATGTGATAATGAAACTTTAAATAAAATTTAATAAAATTAAATAATCAATCAGTAAATGTTAAAGTCAATTAAGATGAAGTCAAGTGCATTCCTAATGTAATCCCAGCATAACAACTTTTCATGGAAGAAGCATGAATTGACAGGATGAGGGGGCTGATAAAAAAAACTATTAAACTGAATAGTTTAAGCCTTTTGTCCAAATTGAAGCAGCAAGGAGTATTAACTACACTGTGTGGCTGTATTCTGATCATACCTGAAATATTGTTGAATAAATAAGCCCCAAAGGTGGTGGAAGAAAAGGATGGAGAGTCGAAACCGGTTTGGCTCAATGGATAGAGCGTTGGTCTGCGGACTGACAGGTCTCAAGTTCGATTCCGGTCAAGGGCATGTACATTGGTTGCAGCTGATTGATGTTTCTCTTTCATGGATATCTCCAGCTCTCTATCCCTCTCTCTTCCTCTCTACAAAAAATCAACAAAATATATTTAAAAGAAAGAAAGAAAGAAGGAAAAGGATGGAGAGAGATCTGAAAATCATGTGAGTAGATGAAGAGCTCAACATGTTAGAGACTTTTCCCAGGAAAAGAGAGACATTTTGCAGGGAAAGAGAATCTTGAGGGAGCATATGACAAGTCTCCTCAATTCATTGGAAGGGGTGTCATATGGAAAGTGACTGTTGTTCTTTTGTCTGCCTCCAGAGGGCAAAAACAGAACCAGTGGGGTTAAGATGCAAGGTGGTACATTTCAGAAGACTTGGCTTAGAGTTGCTGAGAAGAGGTTGTCTTGGCCAGATGCTTTTAGATATTGCTGGTGGTGTTTAGGCTGGGGTTGGGTGTTTAGCAGTTAGAGACATGGGAGCAAAGGTTCTGCTTTGGGAGGGAGAGCAGGCTGAAAACCTTTAGTTCTCTACCAACCCTGTGATTTTATTAGCCCTGACAGCCATTCACCTCCTACCTGAATATTCTGATAAATGTGGCACAGATATTCTTGTTTAAAATGACTTAAAAATTGAGCTGCAGTTTGCCGTTGTCTTGCTTTGAATGGTAGGGAAAAAAAAGGTGAAACTACAGCTTTGAGTGGTTTAATTGTTCTGGAGAAATGTGTTTAACTGAAGTTGCAGTGTTGCTGTTAGATCATATTATTGACTGAGATGGCTGTCCTTTACTCTAGTTTGTACTCCAGTAAATTCTGAGCACTCTTCAAAACAGGATTAATTGGATTTTTGTCAATGTTCATTTTGAAGGCCGTATCAGATCTGGCTCAGGACTTTGGAACAAAAAGTAGATGCAAAGAGTTAATGCCCTCTATCTAAGGTTAAGATTGGGTTTCAAGATTAGAGGCAAGACTGAGCCTGCCTTTGAGAATCTAGCAACTCCAGCAATAGGCAGAGGTTGGATACTGAGACTGAGAACCTAGCTGGGTCTTCTACTTATTACACAGCACTAGTCACAGTGATCTTTGAGAAGGAGGTTTAAATTGAAAATGTTTAGACTTATATAAGTATTCAGAGGTTTAATGGTTTGAGACCTTTTCAATGCTACTTTAAAAATTTATGATTTCCAATGTGTTAAAGTTGCATTTTTGTTGTTGTTGTAATGCAAGTTATTTGAGATCCAGAAGTATGACTTCAAATCTTTTTTTAAAATATATATACACAATTCAGTTTACACTGTATAGGCAATGAAAGGGTTTAATGTGTGTATATTTTGTTTTAGACCTTAACTTTCAAGCATCTTCATTTGGATGATAATTTGTGTATTTGAGCAAATCCTAAACTGCTTTTGAAACAAAGTATATGTTATGACTATGGATCAATAATTTGGGACTTAGGGTAACAGGTGACTTATTATCAAAACTAGATAATAATACTCATTGCCTTGGTTTGAGGCTCCTCTTCCCATTTCCAGGACAATCATTTTGGTCTAAGTCTTCTCTTTTTCCCCCAAGGAGGTTCAGAGAGCATGACCCTCGGACACACTTTGTTCTACATCTGGCTGCTAGAATAATCAGTTTTGAAACCTATTTCAAATTCTTGATGCCTCTGTAACACCTGCCCCTTGTAACTCCCCCATTCCACCCCACGTTTTCTCACTGTATTATCTGTCCTATTACTACCTTCCAGGAAATACATCATTCATTCATTCATTCACTCAAGAAGAAATCAATATTTATTTATTGAAAAGCAGGTGCTGGAGGTTTTTAATTCTTACAACAACATTAGTAGAAAGGCAATGTCAGCATTTAATAAATAAGAACACCCAAGCTCAGAAAACGTCAATGCTTGCCCAACATCACTGACTTTTGTCTGATTGTAATATCCAAGCTCTTTCTATTACACCATACTTCCTCTCATTTTGCCAACTTCTATATTGGGTTTTTATTCTGTGCCAAAGCTGGTGTTAGGTGGTAGGATAAAAAGATAAATGAAAACAGTGATGTATATGAACCTTTAAAATTTAAAACTTTGAGGCATGTTGAATATATGGATTCTTCTTAATTAGAACAAATTCAGTAGGGAAAGACATAGGCAGATATAATTTTGTTTTCTGAATTTCTCTTGCCTACTTTTATCTCCTTTGCCAAGCCTATCATTCAGCACTTGAATTCAACTTTCCATACTCTAAAGTTTGCCCATTTTATCTCGTCATTCAGATACTTCCACATACTTTACAATTAATATATTCAACAAACATTTGTATGAGGTACTATATTCAAAGTACAATGCTAGGTTGATATAAAAATGGATAAGACCCAGTCAAATGGAAGAAATAAACAATAACTTCAGAACATGTGAGAAGAACTAAAAAGAATTATGAGGTTGTGGGGGAAAAGCTATGAGACTGAGGGAGGAAGTTATTTTAGTTGGAGCTCAAAGATGAATAAATGATCTTAAAATAGGGTAGAGGAAAAATATGCTCTGGCAGAGTGAAACCATGTACAAAGGGACGGAGGTGTTCTTGAAAGTCACACCAATTCAGCTGGGGGGCATGGCTCAGGGGTTCGGGAACCACTGCTTTTTTTTTTTCTTCTTTCTTTCTTATGCAAGACTATGACCTAGGCTTGGAACCATGTTTTAGAAAGATGGCTTCAAGAGCCCCTTTGGATACATTTGGAAAAAGAAGGCATTTAGGAGGGAGAGTATCATTTACCTGGATTCGTCATTATCCTCCACGTTTCCAAAAAAAAAAAAAAAAAAAAAAGAATTGCAAATTCCACAAGGAAAAGAACTATTTCTCCATATTCTTTTATGTTCTTGGGGCTTTAATATGGTACTATGTATTATAATTTTATCTTATAAATGATTATATATATTTTTTTAGGTCAATGAAAGTAATACATTGCTTCTCGTAGTGAATACTCCTTTGTAGCTTAATAGTTGAGGCTGAATGTTAATGATTCAGAAAGCCTTGGAGAAGTAAGGGGCCTCTTTGGGACAAGTTTTGTCTTATTTCCTGGAAAATTTGAGGGGTGAAATGGGATGCAGTCGATTAAGCATTTTGAGACTGTACCATAGGATCCATTATATTTGATTACATTAATATAAACGTGGTAGTTTTCTAATGAGTCCTATTGCGGCCTATGCATTATGCTACATTTCATAATACTGAACTAAATAAAGATAGGAGTAAGGAACAGTCTCTGCCCTTGTGAGTGCAAACTGGTTCCTGGAAAGAGGAAATCAGACATGTTAGCTGTGATATAATAAAATCTGTTTTTTTATGCTGCTAGCCTGTGAACCAAGTGCTGTGGGAAATAGAGAAGGGAGTGACATCATAGCTCACAAAATTTTTGTCGGGATGTAAGGAAAATCAATCTACGTGTAAACATGTCATAGTCTTAGCTCCAATGATTACTCAGCCAACACTACCTTCACATTGGCATTTGGGCGATTTTTTAAATTAAAAACAAATTTTTTTTTTTTTTGCAGAACGTGCAGCCCTCACCTTTAAGGGGTTGCTAGTTTCCCTAAGCCTCAGACTTCTGTAGACTGGCTGAACCCAGGTGGGTTTTTGGATTTCCTGCAAGCCTAGGACATGTCCAAGACTTGGAGGCTCCCACAAGTCCAGCAGCGCCTGTGAGATCGCGGTGGCGGCTCTACTCGGTAGTTTACGGTCGTGGGCGGGGCCCGCCCCCCCATGTGGTCCCGACATCATTTGACATGGCGGAATCCCTCCTCAAACCCTCCTGGTAGTTATTGGAGCGGCGGCGGCGGCCGGAGCCGGAGGAGGAGGAGAAGGAGGAGGAGAGCGGCGGCGGCGGCGGCGGCGGGAGCGGCGAAGGGGGCGGCAGCGATCTTCGGGGCTGCCGGCTGGGAAGGCGTGGGCGGACCGGTGTCTGGCGCGCCCGGAGCCCCGCTTTTCAGCCGGAGGAAAGAAGGTAAGGCGTGCGGGCGCGGGAGGCTGGAGGGGGGACCCGCACCCCGCAACCCCCGCCGCCGGTGCCCGCGCGCTGGAAAGCCCCTGCCGGACGCCCTGTCCGCCAAAGTGCATTCCTGTCGGCGAGCGCGCGGGGCGCGCCGGGCTTCCCGGCGAAAACTTGGCGCCGCGGCGCGGGGCGCCCCGCGCCCGCCCGGACTCCCCGGGAACTCGGTCGGGGTCGCGGGAGGGTCGGCCTCCGCTGGGGGCCGCGTCTGGTTCATCGCCGGTCCCAGGGGCTTGGAGGGAGGAGGAAAGCAACGGGTAGATTCTTCTGGATGGAAAAAGAAGAAAAAAAAATAATAAATCTGGGCAGTGGCTCCAGGCGCTCCCTCCTCCCCCCCCCCCCCCCCAGCCTCCCGGCAGATTTTGTCCGAGGAATCCGCTCCCCCTCCCGGAATCTCCGCGGCAGGAACGCGGCCCGGAGGGAGGGAGGGAGGGGGAGGGCGGCGGGGAGGCCGAGGAATCTTCGACGTGTCACTTTCCGAGGCTGTAGATTTCCATATGGTGGAGGGAGGGGGCCGGGGGGCGGGCGTGCGAACGGGGCTGCGCGCCGGGCGGGGCGGGGCGGGGGCGGGCCGGGCCCGGGACCCGCGGCTGCGGGCGGGGAGGGTCCCGAGCCCGCGCCGGCCGGCCCCCCCGCCTCCCCCCGGCCCGGCCTCCTCCTCCTCCTCCTCCTCCTCCGGGACACTCCCCGCCCCGCAGCTGGCCACCTCCGGGCGCGCCACGTCCTCCCTCCTGTCCTGCTCCCCCGGACTCCCCCCCGGGCTGGGGGCGGGAACCGGCGAGCCAGGCGGCTGCAAAGCTCGGGGCCGAGGAGCGGGGCGCGGCGGCGGCGGGAAGGAAGGAGCGGGCGACCCAGTGTGTGTGGGGCCAGCGCAGCTCCGGTCAGTCGGTCCCCCCGAGGGGCGCCGTGTTGATGGATGGGGATGGGGATGGGGATGGGGCTGGGCGGGAGGAGTCCGCACCCCGAGGTGGCCGGGGGAGGGGGGGGCGCGGACTGTCGGGGGGACCGGCGGCAGGGCGGGGGCCTGTCACTCGGGGGTCCTCGGCGATGGGGGTGGTGGTGGGGGTCCCCGGGCCGTGTCGGCGAACTTTTAACAAAGGTCAGGTCCCGGAGCCCCGTGGGAGCCCGGGCGCCCGGACCGCTGTCCTGGGAGGGAGACGGGGCAGGGCCGCCCGCGGCGCCGTTGGCCGGGCGCCTTCCCCGGGCGGGCGCGCTGCAGCCGGAATCGGTGCTTTTGGAAACCTCCTGCCCTGCCTGCCATCCTCGACGGAGGAGGCGAGCGGTGGCATTTTTTTATCCCCGGACTTCCTTAAAAGTTACAACTTTTTTTTCTTTTTCTCTTCAGCCCAGCGTTTTTTTCTTGAAACAAAACTTGGAAGGTGGCCAGGATGGGGCGGCCCCGGGGCCCTAAACTCACACATCTATCTCTCCATCCTTGTGGGTTTTTCTAGCCCTGCCTCCCCTTCTTCCACCCCGGCTCAATCGCTTTTTTTTTTGAAACGGGGAGTCGTCTTTTGTTGGGTGGGCATCCCCTGATGGCTTGTCTGTTTGTTTTTTTAATGTGCGGTTCATTTGATTCCAATTTCCCCAGTTTTCCAAGCCCTGCTAGGAAAGCAAGAGGAGAGGGAATAAGCCACTATTTGCCCTTCTCTCTCTCTCCTCCTCTCTCTCTCTCTCTCTCTCTCTCTCTCTCTCTCTCTTTTTTTTTTTTTTTTTTTTTTTTAAGTATGGAGAAAGGTGGGGAGGCACGGTGGTTATGGGCAGAGAGTCAGAGGGAGCAGACAGACCCGGAAGAAAAGGAATCTGTTCTGGAATAACACTTATTTTGGAGGCCTCAAGCCTTGGGCAAAAACACACCGCCTCTGCTCTGATGATTCCTGCTGCCAGAGATACTCTTCAACTTTTAGGCTAAGGCCAGACAACGCAGGGGGAAGAGGTCTGCAGCCATAGAGGCCTGTGACCCTGGTTTTGTGCCTTGCACGAGTGGGTGGGTCTGTGGTTTCCCCCTCTTTGGAAGCTTGGCTATGTGGACCTAGCATTCGGTGGATTTCCTGGCTCCCTGGGAGCAGCTGTTAGTAAGGCTAAAATCTCTGGGCATGTTTCGGTCCCTGCAGGAGGACTTCACCCATGAGGCTGTTGTAATTCTCACTTTGTTTAGACACTAGAAGGGTCACCCACAAGCTGGCTACGAATGAGTCAGAGCTAGTTTTACAAAGTTATTAAAATTTGTGCTTAAACTTTTGTATGTGCTTTGAAAAAGTGTCTCGGTTTAAATGCTCTTAGGAGAGAAAAAAACTCATCTGTAAAGATAGTGTTCATTTAGGAGAGATGTTAAAACTGCAAGATATCATCACGGAATAGGGGGTTGTAGCTTCTAATTACAGTATATACAATTTCAGAAGGATATTCCGGTAACCTTTTAAGACAGACTTTATAAATAGCTCACATCAGACCGTGGCTATATTGCAGAGCACTGGCAATTCTGGGGTTTTGGGAAGAATGCTTGGGATCAGTTAGGAAGCTCTAGGAACCTAAGTAGTAGTTTACTCAGTAGGAGTTTTGGCCCCTTTTGCTTAACACTTCATTTTAACGTGGAGGAATTGGATAGCATCCTTAGAAGTGAACCAGAAGAACTTTCCCAAAGTTTTCAGTTTTAGGAAAACGAGGGCCAGAGAAGGGGACGTGACTTGTTCAGGGTCACCTTATTAAAGTCCAATATAGGGTTGTAATAGTAGCTATTCTTTCTTGGATATCTAATGTGTATTATCAGTAAGCACTGTGTGTTGTGCTTTAGGTGCTATCTCACTAAACTTCTAGTAACATTCTTTCAATTTAGATGGTGTAATGGATATTTGATAGACAAAAGCATTGAGGTTCATAGAAATTAAATAACTTGCATAAGATCAACATAGCTACCAATGGCATAATAGAGTTTCTTCGATGATGGAAATAGTTCTATATCTGTGCTATCTAATAGGGCACGTGAAGCTACTGGGTGTTGGAATGTGGCTAGTGGGGACTGAGGAGTAGAAATAGGAGACAATATGAAAAATCACTAATCGGGAGTTGGAAAGAAAAATGACCCATTGTTTACTTGTTCATTTGGCATTTCTCTTCAAATGACTTCATAAGTGTCAGATAAATAATATAGCCAAGCCATCATTCAATTTTTGTTATGTAGCTGCACAATGAAAGATTAAAATCATTGTTTTACTATCAAGGTCTAAATCCAAATATAAAACACTACAGTAGTCCACCAATTGGGAAGACTATGCTTAAGATGAAAACAGCAGGAAAGATACTTTTGGTGGCAAATGGTAAAATAGTTTTCTGATTAGAGGATTTATTTTAAATCAAATGCATTTTAGAATTCATTTGGTAAAAGAATTTTCAACAACTTCCTAATGTTGTGGTGTATTGAAAAGTGTTTGGTAAAGCCTTCCAAAATAGTGAAAATTCCAGTCACTGTTAAAGTAGGCATTCCTTTATCTGGATTCCATCAATAAATAAGGTATTCTTTTAATTTTTTTTTGCTATTACTTTCAGGAAAAGACAAGTGATTTATATATATATTTAAATATTTTTTATTGAGTTCAGAGAGGAAGACATAGAAACATCCATGTTAAAAGAGAACCATGGATCGGCTGCTTCCTGCATGCCCCCTACTGGGGATAGAGCCTGAATCCTTGGCATGTGCTCTGACCAGGAATCAAACCTGTGACCTCCTGGTTCGCAGGTTGATGCTCAACTACTGAGTCACCATGGCCGGGCATGATTAATATATATATATTTTTTTTAATATTTTATTGATTTTTAACAGGAAGGGAGAGGGTTAGAGAGTTAGAAACATTGATGAGAGAGAATCATTGATCAGCTGCCTCCTGCACACCCCCTACTGGGGGATGTGCCCACAACCAAAGTACATGCCCTTGACCGGAATCGAACCTGGGACCTTTCAGTCCGCAGGCTGACGCTCTATCCACTGAGCCAAACCGGTCTCGGCTTGATTAATATTTTTTATTAGGATTTTTAAAGCAGCAACTTTCAGGTTCACTGAATCTGCTATCCCTTACATAGTTATTGTTACTGCCAAGGGATAATTGAGTTTCATAAGCCTGACCCTAGTATTATGATCCTGAGGATCTCCATTAGTAAGTCAGCTTCCAGTGTTCTGTATTTTAGTGTTATGTGAATTGTGTGGTTCCAGCTCTTTGAAATTTATAAATTCAACTATAGGTAAGAAGCCATCCACCAACGAGACTGTTCAGATAGCTGAAACAGCCTGTTCGTATCCATTGCTGACAATAGGGAGCATGGTTATTTTCGAGGAACGAGGATTGGAGAAACAAGTTATAAATAGGATTATAGTGTTCTCATGAGTGTGAGAAATATAGGAAACTTGATTTAACTCCTGATGTATTGTTCCACTTGTAGGACACAAGGTGCGAATACAAATGAGAGATAGTAAATCTTAAAAAATAAAGATGTTGAAGTGGTGGGCAAAGATTGGAAATCATCCCTCTCCTAAGGGCCACATCTGAGCATCAGTTGGAAATCAGACTGTCTAGTCTGTCAAAGCCTTTACTTTTTAGCTGTGTGTCCTTGACAAACGTCTGAACCACTCTTAGTCTGAGTTT